AACTTCCATGCTTGCAGATACATTTGTGGGGTTACCCAATACTCCCAAGGACTCAGGTCCTTCCTTACCGGCTGAGGGCCTTCTGATTAACTCGTGGAAAGAGATTGAGAAATCTTTTCCCAAGTTTGCCTCGTTTAAATCGAGACATAGGTCTCAATATAGGTGGCCTGAATCAGACTTTGACATGTTTGGAAAGGTTCCAGAAGTAGACGCGGCAGTGTCTACATACATTCAGTCGGTTACCCAGAAGGGCAAGATGTCTGGTAAGAGTGATCTACACCCAAAGGATGCTCACAAGGATAATACCTTTGTGTCCATAGACCAGTCACTAAGAAATCAGCAGAGAGCTATTTCCCATGCATCTTACATATTAACAGCGCTTTCTAAAGGGCTGAAGGGTGAGACGGGTACGTCTGACGAGACCATATCCCAACTCCTGGGTAGTCTAGCTGCTACGCTATCAGATGTCGGTGATTTGTCAGTCAGGGCTTCCTCTAGGTGTGTCCTAGCTAGAAGGAATCTATACCTAGACGCTATGCAGATATTTGACAGAAACACTCGCGGTGAACTGTCGAAGGTCCCTCCGGCTGGAGGTTTACTATTTAATAACAAGGTACAGCAGATCACACACCAGTCATCTGAGTTAATCAGAGACGTCAGAGAGACGGCACGAACTTTGAGTAATGTCCAACGGTCAGGTCCAGGCAAGAGACCGGCTATGGCTACTGCTACTAACAAGTCAGAGGACTCCAGGTCAGGTTCTGATAAGAAATTCAGACGCCTAGACAGCGGTAGGGGTCGTGGGTTTGTTTCCCCACTAGCTAATCAGTACAGTCAGAAATCTTCAACATACAATAAGGACAAACGAGGAGCCTCTAGTTTTCCCCTCAATAAGGCCTCAAACTCCTATAGAGGGAGAGGACGGGGTCAGCAACAGAACCCCTAGGAATCACACCCTCAGTCCTCCCATGATAGTCCCATTACTGGAGATACCAGTAGGGGGGAGACTTCTTCATTTTGTGAGAGCTTGGGAGGAGATAACCACAGACAAATTTGTGTTGGGAGTAGTATCGAAGGGATACAAAGTAGAGTTCAGTCAAACACCGCCCATGTCAGAGGCTATGAAGTTCACCAGTGTTCCATCAAACAAACAGAAAGCTCAGGTACTCGTAACGGAGATCGAGGCCCTTCTTGTAAAAGGGGCAATAATAGTAGAACTGGGATCAAACCCAGGACCGGGATTTTAAAACATCCTTTTTGTTGTCCCCAAGAAGACTTGGGGGTTCAGACCCATCCTAAATTTAAAACCGCTAAATCAGTTTGTGAGATACCAACATTTCAAGATGGAAAATCTAAGATCTATTATCCTAGCCTTAAACAAGGGCGATTGGGCAGCGTCGATAGACTTAACAGACGCATACTTACATATCCCTATTCAAGATATCTAAGATTTGCATTCCAGGGAAGAGCTTACCAGTTCGTAGCTCTCCCTTTCGGAATCTCTTCAGGACCAAGGGTATTTGTCAAGATAATCTCGGTAGTACTAGGTTATCTGAGGAGTCGGAGGTTCCATCCTCATGCATACCTGGACGATTGGCTTCTTCGAGAACAATTCCGAGAAAAGTTATTCTCGGCAGTTCAGAGCACGATACCACTGCTAACCAGGTTAGGTTTTCTTCCGAACTGGCTGAAGTCTCAGCTTTACCCTACTCAGGATTTCCAATACATCGGAGCCTGTTTCCGTCTAGACCTAGGGCTGGTCTTTCCTCCAAGGGAAAGAATCTTAACACTAAGAAAACTGTTCTCCATAGTAGAGCAGAGGGAGAGTATTCAAGTACGGTATGTGCTTCAGATCCTGGGTCTGATGAACTCATGCATAGAGGTCATACCATGGGCAAGACTACACATGAGACCCATTCAGCTTTTTCTCCTTTATCATTGGAGACCCAAGACGAAAGACATATATGCTCTCATCCCAGTCAACAAGTTGTTAACAGAGTCCTTCCTTTGGTGGAGAGGGGAGACAACAGTGTTCAGAGGCAGAACACTGACGGACAGATCAGTAGATTTAGTCCTAACTACCGATGCGTCGGGAGAGGGCTGGGGGGCCCACATAGAGAATTTGAGGATCTCAGGGAGATGGGGTCCACAAGAGATATCGAGAGATATCAACTGGAAGGAACTGAAAGCAGTTCAATTAGCAATTACGCAGATTCGTCAACTAGTACAAGGAAGGAAGGTTCTGGTACAGTCGGACAACTCAACAGTAGTAACATACATAAACAAGCAGGGGGGAACTCATTCTCCAGGACTTTGTATGTTAACCTGGAGACTTCTCCAATTCTGTATAACAGAAAAGATAGAACTAAAGTCAATACACATACCAGGCAGGTTAAACCTGACTGCAGATGCTCTATCCAGGAGGTCTCAGATCATTCCAACAGAATGGACTCTTCAGAAACAGATACTGAACCAGGTATTTTATTTTTGGAGAGAACCTCAGATAGATCTGTTCGCCTCAAAACTAAATCATCAGTTGCCTGTATACATGTCTCCAGTCCCAGACAGCCAGGCTTTGGCTGTAGATGCTCTAGCTCAGAATTGGACAGGAATGTATGCTTATGCATATCCTCCAATATCCCTAGTAGCACGGGTGATCAGGAAGGTCCGTCAGGAACACATGACCTTGATCTTAATAGCACCATTCTGGGAGAGACAAGCATGGTTTCCAGACCTAATAGATCTGCTGATAGAGCACCCAATCAGATTACCTCTGAGGGAGGACATAATCAAGCAGCCTCACAACGGCTGGCTTCATCCATCCCCAGACATACTGAAGTTGACTGCATGGAAGCTGTCAGGAGACAGTATAGTGAGGAAGGATTTTCAAGAGCTGTTGCAAACAGAGCAGTTGAGGCTAGACGACCTAGCACATATCAGACATACAATGCTAAGCTGAACCTATATTCAAAATGGGCAGCAGAGAAGAGGTTTGACCCTTTTTCAGCAACTGTAGCTCAGATTGCTGATTTCATGGAGTATCTTTTTTCAGTTAAGAATCTCCAGGTTCGTACTATACAAGGTTATAGATCAGCTATTTCATTAATCCATCCCGGCTGGAATGGAGTTAAAGTGGGTAACCACCCAAGATTAGAAAAGCTGTTGAAGGCCTACTTTAATAGTAGACCTTCTAAGAGAAAGTTATCTCCTACTTGGAGTCTCACACTTGTGTTAAATATGTTAATGAAGGCTCCGTTTGAGCCTCTCATCCATGTTCCGTTAAAGTTTTTAACATTGAAAACTGTGTTTTTAGTTGCAATTTCTTCAGGTAGAAGAAGAAGCGGGTTACAGGCCCTGTGTTGTAAGGAGGGCCATATCAGATGGGATCAGACAGGTGTAGCCTTGATTCCACATCCTGGTTTTTTGGCAAAGAATGATTCTTTGTCATATGTTTCAAAGCGTATTTTTCTTCCAAAGATGGCTAGTTTGTCATCAGTTGAGGAGGACAGGTTAGTTTGCCCGTGTAGGGCTTTGAGTCAATACCTTTTAAGAACCAAGAAGTTCAGAAAGGGGGTAGAACAGTTGTTTGTTACTTACAAGGATAACTTGTGTCATGCTGCTTCAAGAGACACAATTTCAAGATGGATTGTTCAGACTATCGAGAGATGTTATAAAGAGTCCACAGACACAGATTTTTCTATGGCAAAGGCTCATGATACAAGGAGTCTATCGACCTCCATGGCCTTATTTAAAGGCATTTCAATGGAGGAGATCATGGAGGCTGCATCCTGGAAGTCAGAGTCAACATTTACCAATCATTATCTAAAAAACATGAGTCAAGAGACCGGCAGGTTTGCTCGAGCTGTATTGACATCAGAAAGAAGACAGTGATTTGACTTCAGGATCTTGGGGTGAGTATAATTATATTGATTTTTGAAACTCCCACCTCCTATTCAAGCTTTGGATTCTTGAAGTAGCCATATGTAGTTATTCAACCTAGCAGGTAAGTATGATGCGAAGGAGATTACACCCTTTCTGTATAGAGAGGGTTATCTCCGAGCATCATACTTACCTGCTAGGTAACCCGCCCTCCTCCCCACGATTTCATCTTCTGATAGATAACAAATTATGGCCTTCAAAAGATGGTTGCGCATGCCGCGAGGGACCAGTCATAGGCATGACCAGGGGAGCGTTAATTTTTTATTCTTGGCGGGTAATTATTGCGAAAGTGGAGTTAGCCATATGTAGTTATTCAACCTAGCAGGTAAGTATGATGCTCGGAGATAACCCTCTCCATACAGAAAGGGTGTATTCAATCCTTAAATGAAATCGAAATAATATTCACAGCATATTTACAATATTTTCGAGTGTAGTATTACATTGAGATGGCCGTTTTTCGTGTATGAAGCGTGTGTTGTGGTGCTCTGGAAGGTGTTGTAGCAGGTGGTGTTGCGTCCTTGTTAATACATAGACAATTCACAATAATACATTAGCTAACGATATAATAAAAAAAGTAAGTTACGTGATTCTATTTGGACAATCTACTTACAGGGTAGTGTGTAATAATACCGGCCGCTTGCACGTCGTTGTCTATACATTATTTGGCGATGTTGTTTCCTGATGCGCTCCTTGTTGTTTGATATGTTTTGTCGTTCCTTCATGTACACGTCTGCTTGCTGTTGTATTCGTGTTGGTGGAGGAATTTATTTATTTCATTGTTATTTTTTTTTAAAGAATTCTCGGAAAATGTGGTTTTCTTTTCAGAAATAATTTATTAAAGCTATAGATATGCCTGAAAAAGCAGTTTTCAACACTTAACTACGGTTTGTGGCAGCAGTACGGGGATCCTTAAGCTCCATATCAAGCTCCGTGAAGTTTGTGATTGGATTATTTACAATTATGGTAAAACCTATTTACAGGTTACTTGACTGTATACAAACGTACCTAACAATGTGGTATTACAAAAACATTTTAATGGGAAATAATTCATTTTTGTAATTTCATGTCATTAAATGCATGCAAGATACATATTTGTAACAATGAAACTTTTTACAGATTGATTAAGGATTAATGTGAAATAAGGATTTCAAATTGACAAAAAGCGTAAAAATTCATAATAATGGATACAGATGAAGTTGTAGTCTCGCTCAACCAGACGCTTATTTACTGCGTAATTTCCTGAAGTACTTTGCTCATACAACAAAAGTCTGGTTGAACGAGAATTATCAAAACGTGAATGAAAGCGTCCTTGGGACCTGTCAACTGAAGATTTCTGGGAAAGTGTCAACCCATAGCCAATGCATTTACGGTTGTGTCTCCTCATGTTTCTTCTGGCAAGATCTTTTCAAAAATTTGAATAGTGTGATAAAGTGGGTAATATCGGCTACCACAACGAAACCGAATATCACCACTAGCAGCGCAATACCCATTGATCCAATTCCAACGGCGCTCGCCCGTTTGTCCTCAGCACTTATCAGGGTTCTTTGGTATTTTTGTGTTTCATTTTTCTTAATTGAAAGTTTGTCTTTTAATAGGTGTATCTTTTCTAGCAGATCAAGCGTATACTGTTCCGATACATTTCCCGGTGGATCCCAGTTGAAGTCCAATTTACACGAGCAAGCCGTTCCCAAAATCAGAACTGAAGCTGCAACGGAAATGTGTTTGCCATAATTATTAAACGTACGGCATCAAATAACATCGAATATAAAGAAATAATGTCTATAAATAGTTACAATGTAATTTCCAACGATGTAATTTGCCGAGACACTTTTTTTGACTGATCATGATATGATGTAAATTCAAATAGGTACCTGGAAGTTGATATGTCAATATATTCTGGATGATGAATCCTTCCATATTGCTAGTATATATTTCCAAGGCAGCAGTCATTTTTAACGTATGCACAAAAGAGCAGACATGTCTCTAAAAGAGAGACGTACACTTTATGATAATTCCTGTCTCTACGAAAACACGTACCTTGTATTTTTAGGAAGACCACAGAACCAGTTGCTGTCACCAAAACAGAGGGAGCACGCAATTTTGTCGGTTCATCAATGTAGTACAGGATGCACTCGTTAGAAGTCGAGGAAGTGATTGTTACTGCCCAACATTGGAACGAGTTCATCTCGGTGTCTAAACACGTCTGCTTACAGCTGTCTACGTTTCCAGTGATTGTAAGTGCAATAGGATTTGCTACACTAGATACAAGGTTTGTGTCAACAATACTGTTTCCTTGGTGTTCCGTGAAGCCAACGATTCCTGCTGAAGAAAGATAAACAATCGTGATCATAAAATTAACAATTCCAAACCTCTTGGCCCTAAATGACCACAGCCGTCGATAGGCCGTTAAACACAAATAACAAACAAACAAACAACAAATTATCCGAGGTGAACTCATTAGGACAAATCTTATTATTCACAGCCTATATACATACTGTTAAAGAGGAAATTTTCGCGATGTAGAAAATCTCGCGTCTGTCGCATTGAGTTAATATTCCATTCTACAATACAGAGCATATGCACTGTGTACTTTGTTATACTCGCCGAGGATTACATTTGGCTATATTCGCGGTCAACAAAGAGGGCGCGAAATAATATACCCAGCGAAAATTAATATATACCGGTATATTTACCGAGATTATGCGAAAACCTGTTAACCCGTTTACTGCCGCTAGTAGTTCTGATTAAGACCGACCGCAAAATATTAGCCCCACGACAGAAAACATCTGTACAGTAATAGAATATCTCCTGAAATAGTTTGTTCTAGTTAAAATTCCATAAAGGGACTTTTAATATGAATCTTTTGTAGACCACAATAACATCAGAAAACGTTGCACAAACACACTGAACATCACAACATCAAAATTAGGTCCAGATAAAGTGAACAGGTAAGAATTAATTTATAAGGAAGACAGTCTCCGTGAATAAGTTCAGATACGGGGAAACGGCTGACGTCACGCGCTATTTCCTAAGCAAATAAAAAAATGAAACACTACTGCCAGATTTTGATTAATTAATGTTTAAATTTTGAGGAAAAGATAATCTGAAAGTAATGAAAAAAACCCACATCAAACTAGCGTCGGTTAAAGACTCGAAAGGAGTTTTAAGTAGTAAGTTTTTGAAAAAAAACATATTTAACGGGCGCAGTGTCACTGAAATTGTCAATAGTAGAAATCCATTGAATTCCTATGGCTGTGTATTCTTACACTGCAAATACAAATGTAGCTGTGGCGGATATGACACGGAAATGAAACTTCTCATAGAGATGATAAAGAAGGACACTGTGACACACAGAGAAAATGACCTAAAACAATAAGTATGCTAAAGATTGCGAAACAGAAAAATAACTTCATCTTACTTTCGCTTTATTGCATTTTCGTTCCTAATATTTGTATACGTCTGAACAGAAATAAGGCGTTCTAAGTTGTAACTATTGACTTCTATAAGGTTATCTGCATAAACATGTAAATTGAAAACTCAAAATGGTGATCTCGATGTCTCTAGTGGTTCATGTAATTAGAGACATGAATGACATTTCGCCGCTGATGCTGAAGAAGAGATAACAATTATTATTCAAAAGCTAATTTTACCTTAAACGTTACAGTTATCTCTCAGGAAGACGCATGCTGTGTTTCCTTTTAAATATTCAAACGCGAAACTCTCTGTAGTATTTAAGAGATCGTTACTGGGATAAACAACGCTTACCTCGCTATATGTAAACATTTTACCAGTAGGTACATGTACATGTAGTGAGTTAAGACATTTCAGGAACAAAATCCCGTTCTTATATGACATAACATGTTGTGAAGACGTCAAACCAGACACAAACGAATGTATGACAAGTGGGGTTAATGCACAATTAAAACATAGATTACAAATAACGATAAATAAACTGTATAAATAAATAAATTTATTAAACAAAATAAAATTACTCATTGATTTACAGTGATTAACAGCGCCTATGTGTACCATTTTTGTCTCTGGCATATTTTTTTTCAAATGGTGTTTTCACATGAATGTAAATGAAAAAAATATGTAAACTCCTGTTGTTTTAAAAAAGGAAATATTATATTCACTAAACTGTACAATCACAAGGGCATTATTGTCAGCATAAAGTTACTGATTTATTTTTACAAATATTACATATTCCAAAGATTTCTTTCGAGGTCGTTCAATTTGTTCCTTTTACATATATATCTATTACTAGATATAAAAATTCAAGAAGCACATTTTAATAATATTGTTTTTCATTATTACATAACGCAAAAGAAATTATCATTTGTATTGCATCATATGACTATTTCGTTTATTTAAAACTCATCAGTGGTGCTTATGGTCAAAAGAGTGAAAATCGACGTCTTAAGTATCCTGTAAGTTGTTGCAGTGTTTGCTTGCTGAAACAGATACATGGTAATTTATTCCTCAACAGGTACTTCATGCTAACCATGGATGAACACGTTACTGTGAAAGTTGAAATTGTCGCAGCGTGGAAATGTTCGTGTTTTTCGAGTTGTACAAATGAGCGGGAAAATATCCACACGCGAAAATATGTATTATTAGATTATATCGAATATAAATATATATGATTTTTAGGTTTCTGAACTATTGGCATCGCGAAAATTTCCAAATCGCGATCCGTCTAAATTGTGTAATGCACGTGAACATTTCCATTTACAATAATTTGAAATATAAAAGGAAATAGTCTAGTAGCATCTAGGTTGTACATGCTTTACGTAGCACTGACAAACCTTGGTTTGTTGTTGATTAATTATCCAGGTTACATTGACGCTGCCGTAACAGTTTCAACATTTGTAGCCAACAAAACATATTAGAAAAGTTCGGAATACAAAACTGTTTAATTACAGTGTTTTCTTAATTTAAAAGTATCACAGAGGAATAATATTTCATGAATTTTATAGTATCTCGGATGAAAAGTGTTTGGTAAATTTAACAGTATCACAAAGGAATAGTGTTTCATAAATTTAACAGTCACGGAGGAAAAGTGATCGTAAATTCAATAAAACATATGTACAACGGAGGAATAGTGTTTCGTAACTTTAATATATCACGGAGGAATAGTATTTCGTAAATTTAATAATACATATAAATCACAAAGGAATAGTGTTTCGCACATTTTATAGTATTACGGAGGAAAAATATTTCGTAAATTTGATGATACATATGGGTATCACGGAGGAATTGAACTAGTTTTATTGAAATGTACATGATCTAAGAAAAATTATGTGGCATCGTTCTTGCCATGTCTTATTAGGTTTGCAGAGCAATACACATATATTTTCAGTTGGAGTGTTAATGCGTTTTGAAGTGTGAAAGATGACATAGTTTTTAAAATTGCCAAACTCACAGGAGCAAAAACTAGTGAGCAGGGACATACCAAACAAATATTATAACGTAAGGTCATCAAAACTTTACCTTGTGATGCTGTCGTAGGTAGCCGTATGGGGTTATTGTCTGGGGAAGTTGTGGCTGTGGCAATACCATCAGTAACACTATAAACCAGGGACTGATACATGGCAGTTGAGACAATACTGCCATCGACACTACTTCCTGTAGATTGTTGTATGGTAGTGGTGTCAACACCACCAACACCATCACCTGTGGTAGTAACAACACCATCACCTCCTATAACTAATTGCCCGGCACCTGTGGTTGTCTCCACAGTGGTGGTTGTTATTGTCTCCACGGCGCTTGTGGTTGTCTCCGTTGTGGTTGAAGTAGTCTCCGCTTGAGTTGTTGTTGTCTCTGTGGCGCTTGTTGTCTCTGCTTGGGTTGTTGTTGTCTCCGCGGCGCTTGTTGTTGTCTCCGCGGCGCTTGTGGTTGTCTCCGCGGTGGTTGAAGTAGTCTCCACTTGAGTTGTTGTTGTTGTCTCCGTGGCGCTTGTTGTCTCCGCTTGGGTTGTTGTTGTTGTCTCCGCGGCGCTTGTAGTTGTCTCTGCGGGGGTTGTAGTTGTCTCCGCTTGGGTTGTGGTTGTCTCCACAGTAGTTGTAGTTGTAGGGGTGGTTGTTGTCGTAGGGTTACCGTTGATACCACCTACCGAGTCACTCCCTGTACACCTCCCGGGTGTAACTATGGTATAACAATGGTATAACAACATAATTAAAGTTTTTAAATTCTCTAGTTATAGTATGTTCTATCAGACATTTTTCATTTTGTGGAAGACATAGTACGGAGCAAAGAGACGGACATTGAGACGAGCAAATTCGAGAAGACAACAAAATCCTTTTCAATGCAACTCTAACCCCTGCAGATAAGATACTTGATAATTCCACTGTAGTATTTCGAAGTATACTGAACGGCAAAAGTGTGGTGCGTGTGAAAATTTTTACAAGATTTACAATTAAGTGCCTTCTACAGGGTTATCGACGAGTTGGATAATATATGTCAACCGATTCCCTGTAGCAGAACAACGACGTAAACCGGCGCCATGCCAGGATCCTTAATCAATGAATAACGTCGAATCAAAACCACGTTTAGTGTTGTCCATGCGAAAATGTTGTTTGGCAGAAGTGAATAACAATAGCGGACACACAAGATATTGACGTCTTAAGTGTATTCTAACTGTGTACAATTTTGACGTCACATTACGTGAAACGTTGATAACGTATGCCTTTTTAGTAGTTGACAGCATTCCTGATTCTGTGTAAAATATGTCTCCAATACTTTGATTTTACATTTACGGTTTAAAATTGACTTCATCGTGAAAAAAAAAATTCTTTTAAATATTGTGTATTTTTAGTTTTGCTGGTCAGTATAGTTATCTCCCCTGATTGTTATTTACAGCAATTGAGTAATTTCCATCGACTCATCCTAATGCATAGCTACAGTTGTTGGCGTTAGTAGGTTAATCCATAAGTTGCTTGTGTACACATTAATTTCCTGAAAGTTTGTCCAAAACATTTCATGCCCGTTTTGATAAATATTTGTATACATTGTAATATCCTTTATCCCGTAGGATAAAACTAATTACAGACAAAGAGGAACACATAATGGTCTTGCCTTTGCCTTCATAGTGCCATCCTTCGCTCCTGCACTATGTCATCCTAGATATCCAGGGTTTACGCTCACTTTCGCTCTCTACACCCCTGCACAGTGTGCAGTACCTTGTGGACGAGACGAGAAGACTAGTCTAATCCTTTGATGTAAATCAAAAAAATCTCGCGAAGTGAAGTCGGGCGTCCCTCGTATGTAATCTTCAAAGGACATGTATCAGCCTAGTGATTGGTCAGGCATGTTTACCTGAAACCAATCAAACAGCTACCTTTGTGCCTTCAATTATGTTATGACATACTCCAGGGGTGCAGAGAGCGAAAGTGAGCGTAACGCCGAGATATCGAGGATGTCATAGTACAGGAGCGAAGGAACAATATATACTTTTAGTTAAGGGTCGCTAGACGTTTCATTCGTAATATGGAAATTTAATTAAGCATAGGACGTATACTGCACCATCATAAAATGTTCATTTCATCTATCAACCCAGTAAAATACCAGTGGCTTCGATTCTTACCGACTCATATTAAGAGAATTTCTGTTAACCTGATACTGCATATATCGTCAAATAAGTTTTACCAACCAGAGGTCGGGTGATCGATCAATAGCGAAAACATTAAATAACCACATGTGTTACATGTAGTGTACATACATGTACATGCAATATTCGCAGAGGTCCGATAGAGACTCGTAGTCACCACGTCCCATCATTTTGTACCAGACACGGTTGGAATGAGTTTCCATAATGTATTTCCTGTTTGTTTACCTGAAGCTATGTACAGGTGTATGTACACACTGTTAATACTTTATACGCATTGTTTGCTAAATAAAGTGATCGTTTTATTGCGATGACCCCGTATTTCCGTCCTCATATGACCCTGGCTGTTGCGAGGACGTTTAACCCCAATCAAATCAAAACCCTGCAATTGCTTGCTCGTGTGGGTCTCGGAATCAGCGCCTCGTGCTGGGTTAACATCATCTTATATATCCAAGGGTAACGCTCACGTACGTGCTCTGCACCCCTGGAATATGTTATAGCAAAATTGAAGGCACACAGATAGTTGTTTGATTGGTCTCAGGTATAAAAATATCCGGACCAATCGCTTGGCTGATACCTGTCCTTTGAAGATTACATAGAAGCATTGCTCGACTTCAAAGTTGGTCCTTTTTTACCGTTATGCGACCGCGAGATTCTTTTGATGTACGCCAACAGATCGAACTAGTACTCTGTCTCGTCATCAAGGTGGCGCACACTGACCTTGTATTTCTAGATGATTATATGTAACGCTCCGTGACATCTGTCAGACAAAGGAGCGTCAGCGATATACAAATAACTTAAAATCGTAGATGTGGTAAACTAATTTTCATGAGATGTCTTAACGCTATAATACGTTCAATCGTGTTCTCCCTGATATGTTTATGACGAAAAGCACCTCATAGTATACCCATGAAGCTAAGTTTAAGTAATTTGGAAAACAAAATCTTTTCCTTTTAAGGATCCCTGCACCACTGCTGAAACTGTATCTATGAGTCGGAAACCTTTTACCGGATGCAAATATGTTTAACCAATCATTTTTGATAATAATTCGATCCACTGCGGACTTTCGTATTAACAAATAATGAAGTTGAAACAAATAATAATGATAAAACCCCAAACAAACAACAGTTCTATCAGAGACTGTGTATTTTGCCTGCCTAAGGATAAGGATCCTTAATTCATGAATATTTAATTGTTTTTATGATTTAATTTAATTTGATAAGAAATACACGTGGATTGCAAATTATACTTAAATGACTTACTTCTTTCACAAATATACGATAGACTTTCTCCGTAACATGAAGCTGTTGCCCATTTGCCATTTACGATTTTGCCACAAGTGTTTGACCAGCAAATCTCAGGTTGACCCGCACCCCAGTTCGTCCATGAACATGTTGGGTCTGAACCACCCCATGTGTAGGCTGTGCAGTCACTACTGTACGTCTTTAGGCCAATCCAATACGTGGAGCCAAGGCTGTAATAGTTACCAACATAATTACATTTTACAAGTGAAATTTTGAGAATTATTTATCCTAAAAAGTGCATAGACTGAGTGAAAAATATCAAAATAGTATTCACACTCCTGAAATATCTTTTGTATTACTAAAGACACTGTTAGATATTCTTTTTTTACGAAAACCTTCCCCGGGTCGCGAGGCGACACATCAAGCTGACAAAACTTGATCATGATTCCTTAACCACTCGTGAAAGATATCAAAATATTAGCAACACTCGTGAAATATATTTGGTATTACTGAAGACACTGTTAGATATTCTGTTTTTTACGAAAACCTACCCCGGAACTCGAAGCGACACATTAAGATGACAATAATTGATCAGGATCCCTTAACCACTCGTGAAAGCTATCAAAATAATAGCAACACTCGTGAAATGTCTTTGGTATTACGGAAGACACTGTTAGATATTCTGTTTTTACGATAACCTACCCCGGAACGCGAAGCGACACATTAAGATGACAATAATTGATCAGGATCCCTTAACCACTCGTGAAAGCTATCAAGATATTAGCAACACTCGTGAAATGTGTTTGGTATCACTGAAGACACTGTTAGAAATTATGTTTATTACATTTGTTTTACGAGAACCTGCCCCGGAACGCGAAGCGACACATCAAGCTGACAATACTTGATCAGGAGCCCTTAATCACTCGTTAAAAATATGAAAATAATAGCAACACTCCTGAAATATCTTTGGTATTACCGAAGACACTGTTAGATATTTTGTTTTTACGAAAACCTACCCCGGAACGCGAAGCGACACATTAAGATGACAATACTTGATCAGGATCCCTGAACGACTCGTGAAAGCTATCAAAATATTGGCAACACTCGTGAAATGTGTTTGGTATAACTGAAGACACTGTTAGATATTCTGTTTTTACGAAAACCTTCCCCGGAACGCGAAGCGACACATTAAGATGACAAAACTTGATCAGGATCCCTGAACGACTCGTGAAAGCTATCAAAATAATAGCAACACTCGTGAAATGTCTTTGGTATAACTGAGGACACTGTTAGGTAGCAGTATACAGTAGAGGGTTGTGGACAAGGGTGATATTTTTGTTAAATGGCTAACCCCTGTATAATGATATGTAAACAAAAATATAAAAATAAAACTGTATTAAAATTGGTATAAGCATGCTGAAGTGGGCTATGTGAGCTTCACATTTGTAAAAAAAGAAGATTTTTTTGGTTCGAGAATAAAATTTTGGCCATAATCCGAAAGGGTGCCTACACATGAAAAGCTAGCTTTACAGGAGGTAAAATTTTGACAAAAGCACACGACGCAAAATTGCAAAAAATCAAGTTTTACAACTTTACTGGGACCCAGATAATTCTGCAACCAGGAAGGTAAACTTTAATTTCAGACAGAACTAAGGAAAAAAATTACTAGTTGCGGGGGTCAAATTCTGGGTCAAAAATAGCAATTTTTGGCATTTTTTGGTAATTTTTGATGTGGTAACCATGGTTTTCACACAAGTAACATACATAGAAAAAAGAGGTTTATAACTTCTCAGTACTTTATATGTATTGTAAATGTAATGCAGTTTACAAATATATATACATGTACACATGTGTTGTGTAGGGTAAATCCGCTGTGTTTACATTTCCTCGACATGTGCCTTGTTTATCAGAGTCGGGCCATTTCTACTGTACACTGCTACCTTAGAAATTATGTTTATTACATTTGTTTGACGAAAACATGCCAGAAGCATTTACTTTTGAATGACTGTAGGTCAGACTTACATTAACTGTTATAGCTGCATAAGATCCGTTTGACCTTATGCGTGATGTTTTGGCTCAACGTGGGAACAGTAAAAGGATAAATATTTCGTTTCTCTGTTCTAATAAAATCAATATCTATTTAAAACATATTTTAGTCAAAATAATTAAAATATGTTTTAACAATATAACTTACATAAAACAATTTTAAAGCAAGAAGAAGTTGCTTTAAATTCCGCTTCATTAAAAAGCCTCAGTTTGACCATAAAACGTTGTTAAAATGTCAAGGAAAAGAATAATAAAGTAACTTTCTACTATCCCTGTTAATACTCAGAGAGGAATATCTATAGTAAAAAGTCCTATCGTGCTCCTTTGTTTTCACAGAAATGTATGGGCTGTAGTTGACTGAATATATCTCTATTGCTCAGGTCATTTTATAGTTGTCCTTTTCACTAGACAGTCTAGAAAATTGAAGTATATGAACTATCATTTCTGTAAACTCTTTCCTAATTTTGCAACTGATCCTAGGTTTTCTTTCCAAATATTTGAACAGAAAGCCAAGACTATCCAATGTCTGTGCATGTTGCATGGGACGTACTAAACTTCCATTAAGTGCCCTACGCAATTGGAATATCTTTCATATTCTCAAACAAGGAAAGGCTTATGCGTCAGAATATTGATCAAAGGAATGTCATTATGAGTTGATTGTGTGCAAAAAGCAATCTTGACTGATAAAGCCACAAGCCAATTCACGACATTCATCAAGTTTTCTGTACGTGTAACTCCAAGAATTACTGGTATTGTTAATCCAAATATGGACCGTGATTGGTTGAATGCTGTGATCATGTAATTTCTTTTTTTTGTGGTATCTTTAGTAAACATAGGTCGAAAAAATTCATTCAGTGAGTGAATGATTTTATCAAATTGGATGAAAGGTAAGTGCACCTAAACTTCACTAAAAGGAACAACTATATTATGAAATGATTCGGTGTAAGATGTCATGATAATCTGACATGTTGTCTTCTGCATGTCTATGTATGGCATGACCTGTTGTCTCTAATAATTTAGCTATTCTACTTTCAGTACATTATATACAACTACTATGTGCATCTCTTTACGCAATATTCTTGGAGTATCAATTAGGTTCTGAGTAAGAGAATCAGAAATATTCAAGTAATAGTAATTTAAACGTATTCATAGAAAATTCAACCTTATTGGAAATGAGCTACTGTGACCTTTTTGTTACTGACTCACATCACCTTTTGATTGATATGTCTTCAATATAATCATTAATCTAATAACTGTTCATAAAATCTAATTATTCATACAAATTAAAAACAAACATAAAACACAGAGAAAGGTTATAGGGCTTAAATCGGGAAGATGTCATTTCCTCCTCCACTTTGACCCAAATAATCCGAAGACGTCACCTGGATTTTCTGAGACCTCATTCTTACACAGGTTGTTCAAGTCGAATGTCCATGTTATAATTTTTGTATATTTCTAACCCATACCAATTCTATCACAAAAAGCGTGTAAATAAAAAAATACGCGTTCTACAATGGTTTGTACTAGCAAACCATGTGAATTAAGAAAATCGCCAGCAGTCTACCACCATGTATGTTGAAAGATGAATTCAAGACACATAGGTTTACACTGAGTTAAAACTGAGTTATAATACAGTTTGCCAAAATTGAAATGCCCTGCACTATATATATATGTAGAGCTGTTTTGTCCGTCTACGACCCATCTACAATGCTAGGGGCCAAAAGGTGGATTCCAATTGATCTAAACTACTGTTGAAACAAAACAAAAGGAGTAGTTCAACGTAATGGCAGATCAATAATGAGGATCACTGGATCACTGTGACTTCGTAGGTTATGGCAAACCCAGGGGACTAATAAATCCACCAGCGTGTTTTACCAACTTGGACAGTATCTAGAAACATGAACGTGAGACACATATATATGTACTGACCGCATAGCTTGACCCTATGTTACAACCTTACAGGGAGGCTCTGTATCATTGTTTTATACTGACAATAACGTGCTTAAATGTACTTTTGAGCGAGAGATATGACTTCTATTAGGTCAATAGTCCATACTGACAAAATGCTAATCAAAAAACAATTCAGTGTCATCAGTTAACGAACTTTATTTGATGATTGATTTTGATAAAAATTTATACAATAATCAAGTCAGAGGATTCCTTGTATGGGTACATATTTCAGGGTGTCGATATCAAAGTCGATGTAACCACGAGGGCCTTTCAATAAACTCTATCACTAGCATCATGGATCAGATACTGCATATAGTTTGAACTTTGGTATATTGGCCAGACACTGGAATATTGCACTACCAAGGGGTCAACTAGAGGCAAACCGTTTCCCAGAGAGTTTTTCTTCAGTAAGGAAAGCATGATGAAGTCTCAAAAGACATGTCTGGTGAAAAGGTTGGGTGGTCAATCTGTACTACATTGTTCCTTCTCCGACTTCAAAAACACCTGTTCAGCATTGCTATTGTGGGATGAAGCATTGTTGTGAATGGGCTGGATGCCATTCAACCATTTACTTAGAAACTTGCACATGTAGAATCGTTTGACAGGCTTCAGGCCTTAATTTCTGTAAAACTTTGCAGACAGAGTTTTCCCTTCCTTGTACGGTATCTAAACCTAAGGTCTACTAAAATAGGAAAAAACGGCATACACAACGTTCTTGGTACTATATATGTCTTGCAATCACTTGCCTTTCTTGATTTCTAGACAACAAATGCTTTCTATTTATGCATTTCTAGGGTTTAAAGTAAGAAATCCAGGTACCATACCCTCTTAGTAACTCAGATATCTTTCTTAAATCGGAATGACCGTACTTTTCCGGTATATGTTTAGCACTTTTCAAAAGTTTGGCTTTTTGTTCAGATGACAGCTAATGTGGGATCCATCCGGCTCCAGGCTTCTTTAATTTCAAGCACTTGGTCAGAATGTGACGTGTATTGTCTTCTGAAATGCCAATAGTATGAGCTATCGACCATCGTCCTCAATTAATTCTTTCACAGCAGCAATGTTCGTTGATGCTGTAAAAACTTGCCTGTCTGGCCGTGTGTCCTCTTTGATGTTAATTTTACCATTCTCGAATTAGTTCGCTCAACTAAAACAGTTCCCAATATGACGACAGAGGTGCCTTTCATAATTATGTAGCAGCGCACCATGGTTTGTTATAGGATCGTGTTTCAGATTAAGTCTTGGCCTTTATTTTAGCAATGAAAAGTAACCACTAGTTAGGAATGCATACAGTTCATCAATGAATCAATGTTTGTGTTGTAGTCATATTAACAGCTATGGTCACATTTAAGGACGTGCCAGGTTTTAGTGGTGGAGGAAAGCCGGAGTTCCTGGAGAAAAACCACCGTCAGTTCCTGGCGATTGCCCCACGTAGACCTCGTACCCGCAGCCCAGTGGTAGCAGAATGTAAGACGCCTTAACCACTTGGCCACCGCGACCCCGTCATTAATAAATAACAAACAATTATTGTCAGAAGATGTCGACACTTTGCACGTGCATTGTTCTTAATTTGTTTTTTGCAATTTGTCAAGACGCTAAACTGTTTGTTGTCCGTTAGTATATGGGAGCCTTGTTAACTCACCGTTGTCGACGTCATACCATTAGTCTACGACTGCTATTGAAAATTGTGACAGAATTTATCGATCGGCTCTAGTTTTTATAGAACATTATCAAACACTGGAGCTAAATTCACTTGGCGGTTTTATCTACCTTTACAATGTTGTCATAACAGTTCCGTAAGTCATTAATGTTTTAGGAAATGATTCACCAACACAATGTCAATGGTAGTGCATAACTAATTTAGATTCCCAATTTTCTTAGCTATCCAATAATGTCAAAAACTAAATATATCTGTCCCTTACTCTTACGCTGACTTTAATTGTTGCTTTTATTCAAGTTTTCTTATCCATGTTTTATGTAGCTTCAAACCTATATGCATCTAATTCCAAAGCGTAAAACCCTGTAAGTGTGAGGTGCTGTATCCTACATTGTGTCGTAAGAGGCGATGCATGCTAAATGGTCTTCTTGTAGAATCGGAGTTTTTCCTTTTCGAATAGATTAATACTATATCTAAAATATTAATTCTTTACTTCAAAGTGCTAATAGTATCAAATTTATTGGCCAAACTTGCAATAATTCCATCAAAAGAAAATGATAGTAAAGAAAACGAAATAAATGCATCACAAATACATTATATGTAGTTCTTACATTAACGAAGTTTCCACAGTAACAAAAAAAGTACGTAGAGTTCATTCTGCTCAATACTTACAGATGTGTTTTCATAGAATCATTAAGAGCAAGCAGGTCTTCCCACTTTTGCAAATTTTCTATACGTAATAGTTTTTTGCCTTCAGTTTCACACTTAATCTTCCCCTTTTCCCATGTCACGGAAGCATCAGGGTATACTCTGATATCCTCGCTTGTCAATGGATATATGGTTCCTACAACAATGTTGCAAACTGTTACTAATATGCCGATATGTTATCATATTTGTTTTTATTAATGTACTTAAAGCCTAGCAAAAATCAAATAGGATGAATATGAGATTGCTTAAATGATATAAATATTAACAAAAACATAAATATATGGTATACAGTTGGATGTGAAATCAATGAAGAAAAAATGGAGAAATGGAGAACTAATGGAGAAAAAATAACTAAAGGTTCAGAGTGAAGTCACTGTACCTTTTTCCTGACAGTCCACATTGTACAGGAACGAAAACACCCTGAACTTTCTTTTAAATACCTATTTCATCGACAAGAATACAACGTGGGAATTCTTTTGTGGAAATAATATAGACAAGCCCCATTTCTAGAATATCGAATTATTCATACAAAAAATAGATTCTAATAATTTTAATCACTTCGATGTCTGATCCCAAGTTTCGAACTAGTGGGAGATAATTATAAGCTTATAAAAAATTGCAGATGTATGAAAACTTAGCGGCTGGTAGCCAATCTAATATTAATAGAAAAGTGAAGTGAATGTTACTCACCAATAACGAAAGAACTGATAATAAACACAATCAGTATATCCATCTCGATGATTTTGTACATCTAACGTCTTTGTGCATTGTGTTGCAGTGCAAGTTTATGACTCTGACGTCAAAAATATGCGCAGACATAGGAATATTACCGACAGATGAGGGTCTGGTGGAGCAACCTGCATTGTCCAGGTTACTAGTAGTATTCACAGAGATACGTTACTTTCGTTTCCCTCTATAATACTTAGGTTTTTGTATCCTGGTATGATAAAAACTATATAAATTCTATAATGATAATTGCACATGAATAGTATTTGATCATTATTGTGTGAATAATCCCCTCTCTAACCTCATGATAGAAAATTATCAGAATTGTAATGACACATATGGAATGGAACAGTCCCATATCATAAATATTTCAATGTAGAACGTACTGTACAACATCCAGTCCCTCAACGGGCAATTGTGCACTAGGCTATGAAACAACACGTTGGGGTTTAAGGACATATCAAGATACATGTCTGTCAACAACACAACGTAATTAACAAATACCTGATGCATGCTTTATCAGTTTTTCTGATAGATATTTATTCCTGTATCCTTGGTAGATAAAAGTGGTTCTAAAAATACAGTTATTTTGCTTTTCATGTATTATTTGGGATTGATAGGTAAAGCATATCATAAAAACAATATACTCATGATCGAAAAGACTTTCAAGGGAAAGTTATATCTCACTTCTGATATTACTACATATATATTTTTAGAATATTTTCTTTAGAGCCATTATCAAAATATTATATAGAAATTAATGGATATTAAAAAAATGACGTATGAATTATACATTTTGTTATTTAATGTAAACAGACTTCCTACCGAGCACATGACCTTTCGGTGGTGTGCCTCTGTTTAACAGTATTGTAAATTGCAAACAATGCATTATTTTGCATTTTTTGTTTCTAAAAGAAGGTTTATGAATTGCGCAGAGGTTAACAATAAGCGAGGGAATTTGTCCCGCTGTTCTTTAATGCAATTTGAATTGTATACACCTAATTAAAGAATCGTTATCAGGCCTTCGTTTATCGACCAAAGTGTGATGCATGGCTGTTTTTTTTGCATATATTAGTATGTAACGAGATAACTTTGACGAATAACAATAATTTCAGACATTTGACGGGAGGATTCCGAGGATAGTTGTCTGTAAATATTTAATTTTGCAATTATCCGATTGTGAAACCAATTATGTTTGAAAGTCTGTAAATTCTAACAAAGGGGTTGTACTGCCAATTAATGATATTTTGGGGACTCGTATTTTGGAGGTGCTGATTTTCGTCGTTGTATTGTCAGGCCAGATGAAGTCTGGTATTATATATATTGTTGTTAACCCCATCGGAAGTTGTTTTGGCCGTGAATGGAAAGATCTTATAAAACATTTAGACGTTACAGTTACAAACTATATGGTATATTTGTATATATATATATATTTATCACGTAATGTACAGTGGTATCCAGTGAATATACCAATGTCATATTTTTTGCGTATTAGCTCATGTAATATGACCTATCAGCCCTGTGATTGGTGGTAAGTTTCAATTGTGACGTTACGCCTAGGTTAAGTACATGACATCACAGACTTACGCACTGAAGTCAAAATGGCATGAAAATTGTCATTTTACACGAATAAATACAACAAAAATTGAATATTTGATAAAATGGATCTCACACTCGTTTTCATTTCATATGAAATTTATAAAACTCATCACAATTTTTTCATTTTAGCTCGCCAGAGACTCGCTAAATTGAAAGATTCTCAGAATCGCTTCATAAATCTCATATGAAATGGAAACTCGTGTAAGATCCTATTTTTATGGGCAAAGAAGTAAGCTCAACTCCGGGGATAATGTTTTTTTTCTTCAGTTTAGCAGTCGGCAAAACCTTGTGTTTAACTTAAAAAAAAACTTCCTCTCGATTTTCCTTTCACACAGCAAAGATAGCTTCTAATAACCAATGTGAGAGCTGGTTACAATATTTTGCTCAGCATTATCATAGTGGTTTGATTTGGCTTGGTTTTATGGGGTTTAACGTCATTTCAACAGCTCAGGTAAATTAAAGACATGCCTCCATGTATGTTGTGTATGCTTGCATGTATTTATGCATGTATGTATGTATGCCGGAGGCAGGGTATGTTGGTGTATTAGCCTCCTTGTGATGGCACAGAACTGATGCCGACTTCATAGTGCTATCTCACTGGAATACAGTGCAGAAGGCAACCAGCACAGCATTCCGCCCGGTCACATAATACTGACAACGAGTAAACCAGTTGTTGCCATTACCCCAAATACTGAACGTGAAGCAGGGGATAACACCTTATATAGGAACATGGGGCTGGGAATATATTACAACTTAAAAATAGCCACGTCCTTTGTCAGGGGAGTTGGGGATACCCTTACCACTGCCGCCAAATTGTAAATACAAATTGAAAACCGTTTTTTTCTGGCATGACTATTATTTCAAGAAAGAAAACCATACATCGAGTTGCAGGATTTTCACGAATATGAAACAAATAGAATAAAAATAAATGCAGCGGGGGTAGACTACTTTACTATCGCTCTAACTGAGTGTGCTACCATCAGTCCTACAGTTATATCCAAAACAGAATTAAGGGGAGGTAGCTGTTTGTACCAGTAACTACAGTGCAGTTAGACAGGGTCCGATGTAATCCGCTTTTGGAAAAATATCATTCAATGTACTTGTAATATATATATATATATATAACAGTTTTAAATCTGTTTATTAATAAACGATCACTTGACACTTGTTTTCTATTTATCCAGGAGTTGCGCTCACTTAGGCTCTCTGCGTACGTGAGCGTAGCCCCTGGATATCGAGGATGAGTAAAATCGGGATGTCTTGTAACACAATTGCGCTAAATGTTTCAAGCAGAACCTTTGTATGTTAAATAAGGTGGAATTAATCTACTTAATAAATCTTTAAGCGAAAATCAGCATGTTTGTAGACGATTCGCAATTATTCATAGGCCAGAACGAATGAGCATTGCCAATCATATCCGGTATAATGATACAGTTCATTAGCATTTATTTAAACGTTTTTGAATTAACGAGGTCGTTTCAAAACATACATGATATATACAACAAGGATTCAGAGAAAGTTTGTAAGCTATGTAAATCTATCTCTTTTCAAATGTTCACCAGCAGGCAGCGACTGATCAGCTGACAATTTGCCCCCCCCCCCCCCTCAGGCTAATGGCCAGCAGCTAATGTTTGTGTTTTACTTTATATAATGCCATGCTGTACTTGTCATATGTTTGCCATCGTCATGTTTGTGTATTACTTGTTTGAAACTATATTAAACGTCACCAGATGCTGAACTTTTTCGATATTTGTTTGGTTGTTTCTGTGACGGGACGGAAAGTGCATACATGGAGATTTGTATCCCACAACCACTCTAGTTTACCTGCGAGGCATTCGTAGAAAGTTTTGGTTACCCTTCAGTGGGCTACACCCATGCCTGGACGTGATTTATTGGTCAATCTCTTAATTCTGAGTTACTTGCGAATGCTTTGGTCAGTTATAAACCTGGTATTTGCTTGTAAATGACAGGTTTACATGCTTTTAATGTCTGAATTGAAGAAAAAAACAGATTTTTTTTCCCAATTTGAAATAAAACATTAGATAGCATAACCTGCGTGGGTTGTAACAGTATTGGTTAAGCCATTATGAGTTATCGCCCTTGATGTGAAACTCTCCAATAGCGTTGGTAATAAAGTCAGTCTTAGTCCGCCATTCTTGTCTCCATTCCTGATCACATCAACATCACTTGTTTCACTCGTGACTCCCTGTATTTCCTTCATTTGTGTTTCACTGGCTTCGGCAGCCCTACATATGTCAATTGCCTTCTGAAGAGTTAAATCTTTGTCTCTTAACAGGCGAGATCTCACAGAATCACTGCGAATACCACAGACAATTCGGTCCCTTATTAAAGAGTCTTGTAAAGTTCCAAATTCGCATGAGGCAGCCTTGTGCCTAAGGTCTGTTACAAAAATGTCTATGTTCTCCCCTTCCCGTTGACTACGTGTGTTAAGACCGTGTCTCTCATATGTAATGTTTTTCCTAGGGTTACAATACTCCTCAAACTTAGTGAATATGTCACCCACCTTCGTTTTATCTGTTCCGTCCCACGAGAAAGTATTGTAGACTTCAATAGCCGCCGGGACCAACACGTGGAGTAAGGTCATGCCTTTTACATCATCTCCTTTTCCTTCTATACCGCTGGCGATAGAATAGATTTCATACTGTTGTCGAAATCTTCTCCAATTTTCAGACACATTGCCTGACAAGTTTCAGGCTGGCGGAGGGTATAGGCGGTCCATTTTTACTCTGACACCATGTAGTGTGAACTCAACTCTTCGAATGGCGGACTAAGACTGACTTTATGGAACGGTAGTGGAGTCATTACAAAAGTGGCGCGAAAGGCAGAGAAGCGCGGCACGTGCACCGGAAGTCACAAAATATAAACAGAAACCGGGAGACACACTCGCAGGTATGTGGATATTGTGGGCAGAAACACAGTAAAGGACATTGTCCAGCGTTTGGAAAAACGTGTAAAAAATGTCAGAAAAGGAATCACTTTGCTGTTATGTGCAAGTCAACACAGAGAAGACATAATGTGCATCAAATAGATGAAACGGTGAGTGATATTGATGAACATTATTCTGATGAGACATTTTTCATTGATAGTATTGATATGGATAAATCAGCTACTGGGCAGAGTAAGCGAGACTGGAAGGTGTCAATCCCAATCAACAGTTCCAAAACACCTACAATGTTCAAGTTGGACACAGGGGCAGATTGCAATGTGATTAGCGGGAAGGCTTGTGTGAAAGCTGGTGTTAACCTGCATAAACTGGTTAGAAATCGAAGCAAATTGGTGTCGTACTCTGGACATGAAGTACCAACTGTTGGCAAATTTACCACAAGCATCCTGTACAAAGACAGGTACCACCTGATTGAGTTTCAAGTTGTGGAAGCAGATGTTATGTCTGTGTTGGGACTTGAAACATGTATGACACTTAACCTCGTAAAACGAGTGTACTCTGTCAATGTAAATCAAAGTGCTGAAAG